AAATAAAAGTTTTATTATTTTTTATATTTATATTATTGCTAAATTAATAAAAACTGTAAGTTATAATGACATTACAGCGTTATTTATTTGTTCTTTTTGATCAAATGATGAATATAAATTTGCCTTGAAGAGTAGACCTTATATACAGATGTCAAAGACTAATTGATATAAAATACAGTTGGCATTTTGAGACAAGGATAACAGAACAATTTGTGAGGCAATTAACTTTTGTTTTGCCTATTGTCACTGTACGCCTACATTAGGCAAAATTTACATTGAAAGAAACTGAGATTTTAAAATCATTGTTGAAAACAACAACTGCAGAAAATACATCTTAAACACTTTTATGTTTTAAACTATATAATTCTCATGAATACCCAAAACCATTTTAAGTGTAAACTTAATTTAACATCTTAATATCATCTTTATGCTCTGTTTTTGTATGCATTTATCGTATGGGAACAGTTGTAACAACTGTTGCAACTGCCCCTCTTCCTGTCGGCCATGATAAAACCTCATGTGTTAGCTAAACAAGCTGACCTGGATATATGTTAACTATATTAGTTAAAAGTCAACAAATCACTTGTTTAAACCATACAAGTTTGAGCTGGATCACAAAAACAGTGACAACAGTTTAATAAAAATAAAGCTGGGCAAAATTAAAATTGCTTTGGTTCCTCAAAAATAGTTTTTTTTTTTTTTCAAATAAATCCTGGAGCAGTTTTTGAATCTGCTTACTTTTTCTTTGCAAGGTGGGACATCTATGTATAGTGTGAGTGTCATCACTCTAGCTTGTTTCTGTTTGGAGAAAAAATGACGTGTTGCAACCGTCCCTTGTTGCTACTGTCCCCGGTCTCCCCTACTCAAGCTTTATCACAGTACAGTACTAATCTTTCTTTAAATTAACTTACATTAACAGGTGTTTTTTTTCTTACTGATACACTTTATAGCAGCCTACACACAGTGTTTGCTGCTGATGTTAAATGTGCCAGATCTATGCGGATTGGAAAAATAACTGGAAAAATAACTCTTTTTCTTACCTTAAAATGTCATCATGTTTTATGATTCCACTCGTTATGCTCTGTTTTGTCTCAGACAGTGTTTTACAACCATGACAATATCTCTTAGAAGTAATCATTCTTGCTGCTGTTTATCAAATATCATGCTTTCCTTGACCCAGCATCGGCGCCAGGAGAGGTGTTATTGTCTGTTGTGGATAACATGCTGTATAAATGAGTGTAAACTGCCTCATTGCACACATTTTTGTACCACTGCCCTGTGTGACATGATGTGTGTCTGCAAATGTGAATAAATCCTGCTGACCATTCATGGAGTACTTTTCATTCTTGGACCATGTGTTTCTGTCTTGGGGAAATAAAGATTTCCATAACACTATGTATATATTTAAGAGAATGATAAAAGCTGTTTTTGAAGGTATATGGAAAAGTATAATGTGAATCTATGAATTGTTGTTTGAGTTGATGTTTTTTATTTAGTATTATTTTTAAATTATATTTTGTTTGAATATACTCTGGAGATTAAAAGGGGCAGACATAAGATTTATTCTTCTGCTACCTTTCATTTTCTTTAGATTTTTAATTTGTGTATTTTCTTTGTTTTCTATTGTATATAGT